TAAAAAAAAGAACAATAGACAAAGTTTATTGGTGGGAAAATATATATATATACACACACACACACACACATTATATTATTCGGACTATTGTCTTCATCTTTTGTCGCCATATTTATTACAACGTTTCGGCCTTCTTCAGGTGGTTGGAATGTCGAACTGAACCCTTTATTTCGCTCACTGGGGTAGACTGTTCTAGTTCCACGTCCCATGTTTAATGGATGTCAGTTATCAGCATCTGAAAGTTATCAGTTATCTGAAAGTTCTCCACTGCCTTAACCGGGTATTGAACTCACACTCTTTGGATCTAACTAACGCCTTTATCCACTGTGCCATGTGTCCTAGAAGACATCTGCGTATGAATTTCTGGGTATTATAAACCTAATGTCTTCAGTAACTATTTTTTACCAGTGCTCATATTGCAATTTTTGCTGTTATAATTGCATGTTTTTACCAGAGCTCATATTGCAATTTTTGTTGTTATTATCGCTTTTCTCTGGCACTCCTTATTACTGATTCCCATATTGTATTCATTTCTATGCGTGATCGGCTCAGGAGATTTTTGTGGTCTAGCATATGTGCTAATTCCTTAAGTTTACGAATTTTCCAATGGTGTTCTTTGTCTGTGATCTCAACCTGATCCCACAGAGGGCGGTGATCTCCCTTCTCTCTCCATATGTGGTCAGCCACGCCTGATTTTTCCACTTTCCCTCGTGTTACAGCTTTCTGGTGTTCTTGAAGCCTTACCTTAAGGGGGCGGCCTGTCTCCCCTTTATATTTCTTTCTGCAGCTGCACGGGATAACGTACACGCAGTCTTTAGGCATGTTCACCTCTATGGAGGGGGGGGGTCTTACTCGGGAGAGATATCTGCGAAGTGTCGTCAAGCTTTTGATGGTTGTCCTGATGTTATATGGACCGCAGATCCTTTGTATTTTCTCTGATAACCCCTTCACATAAGTCAGGCAGACTGTTTTCTGAGTGTTGTTGTCCTCTTCTTGTACCCGCCTATCCCAGTTTTTTAACGCTGCTGCCATGTACCCAGGGTAGTTGTTACGTTTTGTATCACTATGTTATCTGAAGAAAGCATTTTCTCACTATCTCTCAATATATTTTTATATCCTACTCATTTTGAGTAATTTACTGTAAAAAAAATATACGTGATGGCGAAAATTGTCAAATGTTTAAGCAAAGATTTTAGAACAATCCATAAGAAGTTGACAACATTGACAAGGCCTTTAAGAATTTTACACGCACCCCCCCCCCCCAAAAAATAACAATTTGAATAGAAAAACTAAAAAAGATAAAAAGGAGTAACCAGCATCATAATATTTAATGAAACTGTTAATTCGGATTTAAACAGAGAACAGAGAGGCTTGAAATTAATTGGCATCAACTAAAGCCATGCCAGCAACCAAACTACCATTCTTAAATAAACACGACAAACAGAAATATGTAAGTTGAATTTTCCATCAATAATTTTAATGATGAATGTAGAGCTACATTGGATTAACCAGATAGCCGAACTGTAGGTTGGGTCACTCATGGCTATAGTCAACTAACACGATTTGGAAGGGAAGTAGCAAAGTTTTGTGCTATTGTAAGCATTCACGTTATATGTCCACCTAAGTTTTTGGTTTTTGTTTAATCAATCCACCCCAGTCAAGGCGATAATGCAAACTAAGACGCAAGTGGCTACTGGAAGTGAAAGAGAATGAGGACATTTTAGAAAGATCCGGAAACCCAATCCTAAACAGGAAACAAGGAATAAATCTCTACTCTTGTTCAAAAGACCAGTGTGTGAACCGGGCAATAGGCAAACCTATATGTTTGAAATGATATTCAGATAAATGCAAATAAATTATTTTATTTGCATGAACGATTAAGAAGCTTTAAGCTAAAGGCTATATTTATGCAAAATAAGGTGCCTTAAAAATTTGAAAAGCTGAGTATTGCCCACCTTGCCAAAATAATTTTTAACGAATAGAATCTCGTACTCTGTCATTGGAAGAGATATCTTAACAACAGAAGATATGCAGATGATTCGGTGTTGATAGCAGACACGGAAAGAAAGCTACAAATGTTCCTACAGAAGGTAGTAAAGGAGAAAGGATTAAACATCAACTGTAAGAAGACAGAACGTATGGTTGTTAGCAAAAGGATGATCCCAAAGTGTGTATTGCAAATCAGAGATAACAAAATTAAACAATTGCGGAAATTTAAATCCCCGGAAAGTGTTTTAAAAGAGGCCAGAAAGTGTGACACTGAAATCCTAAGGTGTACTGGGATAGACAAAGAAACATTCCAAAAGCTAAGCAGAGTACTAAGAAATAGGAAAATTTCGCAAGAAAGAAGAAAAAGTGTACTAAACTGCTACGTGATATCTGTCCTCCTGTATAGCAGTGAGTGCTGGACGATCTCCTTACAGATGAAGAATAAATTTGAGGTGACAGAAATGTGGTTCTACAGAAGAATACTGAGGATACCATGGACTGAACATTTGATCAAACGACGAAGTTTTTGAAAAAATGGAAAGGAAAAAACTAATGCTTAACATCAAGAAGAGATAGTTAAGGTTTCGGGGGGGGGGTATTGAGGAAGGAGGGCTTGGGAAATCTAATACTCACAGGATAGATAGGGGGCAAGGGGGACACAGAAAAACCGCGCATAACATACTGGAAAAACAGAACAGGGCTTGGGATAAATAACAGAAAGACAGAATCTATTAAGAGCTACAAGTGTCAAGAAGTTGTGAAGAGCCATGATCGCCTACGCCCTGAGGGAACACGGCAAGTAAAGACGAGATTAGAAAGGAAAACACTGTCCAAGAAAAATAGTTGGGAAGTAATAAAACTACTGAAAGTCATGTTAAAGTCGAAAGAGTGGAAAAGTTAAAAAAAAATCAATGGTTGAAAGACTGATGAATGCTATAGAATGTCAAGGACACCATATTTTCCAAGTTTCCATGTTATCTTTGCCTTTGGGACAGCAAGAATACCACACTAGGACTGACCACAGCGTACTGAGTTCAGTGTGGGGCGGAACAATGTCGAATGGGAGCCACTGTTGGACCTCTGGAAAGTATTGTTTCCTCCAGTACACTTAAAATTAAGCCCGATGAAACAATTTGTCGTAGATCTATATATGGAGTCTACAACCTTCAATTACTTTCAAAACCACAAATAAAGAAAATCATACAGTGCAAGGTGCTCTCAATAGGATGGAGAAAGCAGCTTTTGGTAAAGCTTTGTCGGAGTGGTTCGGGGCTTACTGGGGAACCACAATGCCGAGAACTATGTGATGTTTGTTGAGACCCTGGTGAAGAACTATGGCAAAATGGGAAGCAGAATGTCCCTCAAAGTTCATATCCTTGACACTCATCTTAATAAATTCAAAGAGAACACGGGGGTACCTGCTCAGAGGCGTAGGAAGGAAGGATTTCACCGGCATATTTTGAACTTTGAACGCCATTACCAAAGATCATATTTACGAAAACATAATGGGAGACTATATTCAGGGGCTGATTCTTTGAAATAATTTACAGTATAAGTATAAATCGCGGAAAACTACTCATTCTAAATTTTTTGTGGCCTCTCTCGTGTAATCCTAGAAAAAAAAATAAACGCTACTTTTAAATCACATGCCGTTTTGTTCCTACTTTGCGCGGATATTCGCCAGTTTTTTTCCCAATGGGGATGTGTTAATTTCAGAAATATCATTATCCTGGTCACAAAAGCAAAGTTTGACGGAAATAGCCATTTTTATAATACTTTCTAGGCGTAAGTAAGTAGGAAATAATAGCTGCTACCCAAGGACAAATCGTTCTGGGTATGACGATAAACTACATCCAGCAGCAAGGATCGGGAGATTAGAGGTTTTCAGGAACACCTCTTAATTACTGTTGTTTCCAGCTCCACCCTGACTCGTGGTGGTAGCACCTGTTAGGGTCCCAGCTATGGGCGAATAGTGAGCTACTAAACAAAAATCAACAGTACTTTTTGATAATAAAATGATCAACAATGCATTTATGTAGCAAAATGATAATTAATGCCACACAAAAAAATGTAAAAATACATTTTTATAGTAAAATTACCAACAATACATTTTATGATCTATAAACTACATATCTAAAAAAAACCCAAAAAAGACATAATTTTACTTTGAAAAAATAAAATTATGTACAAAATATTTGTAGTTGAAAGCCTAAAACTATGTACAAAATATTTAGATTTCGGCATTAAATAACCCATAGAGGTGTTGATATGCCGCTAAACAAAGTCAACCGACTAACAATACCTAATCATAATAGAATGACCAACAGTACCTATTTAAATCAAAATTACTAACAATACATTTTATCTTTAGTTGAAACCATAAAATTACGTTAAAATATTTCGATTTTGGCATTAAATAACCCATAATGATTGATATATTGCTAAACAAAATCAACCAACCAACAATACATATTTATAGTAAAATTATCAACATTACATATTTAAAGCAAAATGACCCACAATATATTTTATCTTTAGTTGAAGCCATAAAATTACGTTCAAAATATTTAGATTTCACCATTAAATAACCCATAGAGGTTGATATGTCGCTAGACAAAATCAACCAATTAATAAACCAACCTAAGGACAAAGAGTAGGGATTTATTTAGGGAATTGTTTTAATAATATAAACTTCTTTGTTTAATGATTCGAATTTATGAATAAAATAAATTGTTGTTCGTACTTTGTATTAAAGAAAACGCGATCCTCGCAAAAAAAATATCCTTTTTTAATAAAGTTAAATATTATGAGTTGAAATCTATATACAGCGCATTGAAATCTATATATGTCCTGAAAATTTAATCAATATCCTGAGAATATTGCCTTATAAAATCTCACTCACACAACTCCAGTCGGTTTGCGAATTTACAACTCAGTAGCACCTCCACGTGGACGAGGAATTCTATTACTATAAGTGGCGAGACTACATCCATCGCGTAGCTTCCAGAACCTTCGGCAGCAGTCACCCATTCTAGTCCTGACTAGGCTCAATGATGCTTAACTTCGGTGATCGGACGCGAACGGGAGTTTCAACGTGATACGACTGTAATCACGTAGCGTGGATAATTAATGAATTAGGCCGAGTTTGTTTTCGAGGCCACATACCTCGGCATCCTGGAGGGAACAATTGCACTGTCAATGGCTTGTGTGACGACAAAAAAAATACGCTGCAGTAAGCGAAAATTTGAACTAAATCGCGTCTCAGAGATGGCGAACACACAGACAGATACAGAATGCACTTCGTGACATTACGGCAAAGCTCAAGCGATTGAAGCGCGTGGTTGCAGCAGCAGCAGCAGAGGGAAAAAAAGATGTGCGGTAGGCGAGTTCGTTTCGAGCTTTGACTAAATCTCTGGTTATCTGTCATTTGATTGAAAAAGTTTTGACATCGAAATAGATTTCAACTCTGATGTACATATATTGTATATTTTCAGTTGCAAGGCTTTCTTCAAAAACAACAACAACAAATAATGATAAAAGTAAAAGATGACAGTGAATAGAATAGAGAATGGGAAGATGAAGATAATGAAGGAAAATAGAGAATGGAAATAATAATAATAATAATGGGAAGAAGAAGATGATGATGAATAGGATGGAGAAGTAGAAAATGAAGAAGATGAGGATAAAGAAGAAGGAAAAGGCAGAGGGAATAATAATAATAATAATAATGGGAAGAAGAAGATGATGGTGAATAGGATGGAGAAGTAGAAAATGAAGAAGATGAGGATAAAGAAAAGGAAAAGGCAGAGGGAAATAATAATAATAATAATAATAATAATAATGGGGAGAAGATGATGGTGAATAGGATGGAGAAGTAGAAAATGAAGAAGATGAGGATAAAGAAGAAGGAAAAGGCAGAGGGGAATAATAATAATAATAATAATAATGGGAAGAAGAAGATGATGGTGAATAGGATGGAGAAGTAGAAAATGAAGAAGATGAGGATAAAGAAGAAGGAAAAGGCAGAGGGAAATAATAATAATAATAATAATAATAATAATAATAATAATGGGAAGAAGAAGATGATGGTGAATAGGATGGAGAAGTAGAAAATGAAGAAGATGAGGATAAAGAAGAAGGAAAAGGCAGAGGGGAATAATAATAATAATAATAATAATGGGAAGAAGAATATGATGGTGAATAGGATGGAGAAGTAGAAAATGATGAAGATGAGGATAAAGAAGAAGGAAAAGGCAGAGGAAATAATAATAATAATAATAATAATAATGGGAAGAAGAAGATGATGGTGAATAGGATGGAGAAGTAGAAAATGAAGAAGATGAGGATAAAGAAGAAGGAAAAGGCAGAGGGAAATAATAATAATAATAATAATAATAATGGGAAGAAGAAGATGATGGTGAATAGGATGGAGAAGTAGAAAATGAAGAAGATGAGGATAAAGAAGAAGGAAAAGGCAGAGGGGAATAATAATAATAATAATAATAATGGGAAGAAGGTGATGATGAATAGGATGGAGAAGTAGAAAATGAAGAAGATGAGGATAAAGAAGAAGGAAAAGGCAGAGGGGAATAATAATAATAATAATAATAATAATAATGGGAAGAAGAAGATGATGGTGAATAGGATGGAGAAGTAGAAAATGAAGAAGATGAGGATAAAGAAGAAGGAAAAGGCAGAGGAATAATAATAATAATAATAATAATAATAATGGGAAGGAAGAAGAAGATGATGGTGAATAGGATGGAGAAGTAGAAAATGAAGAAGATGAGGATAAAGAAGAAGGAAAAGGCAGAGGTGAATAATAATAATAATAATAATGGGAAGAAGAAGATGATGGTGAATAGGATGGAGAAGTAGAAAATGAAGAAGATGAGGATAAAGAAGAAGGAAAAGGCAGAGGTGAATAATAATAATAATAATAATAATAATAATGGGAAGAAGAAGATGATGGTGAATAGGATGGAGAAGTAGAAAATGGTAGATGGAAATAAAATAATTCAAGCTGTACGAATATTAATAATAATAATATTAATGTGTTTTTGAATGATTAATATTTTTTTACGATTTATCAACACTTTGTGAGTTATTTAAAGCCGAAACATATCTAAGCCGAAACATTGTACAAAGTTGCTTACACTATCCGTGTTCTTAAGCAATCTCCCATCTAAGCAAGAAGGGGAACGGGGCGGAGAAGTAGAAAATGAAAAAGATGAGGATAAAAAGCTCAAGAAAGCAAAAGTGTATAATCATAATAACGCTGAGAAAAATGTTTTTTTATTATTAATCAAATTTAATTTTACGGCTTATCAACCCTTCGTGGGTTAATTAAAGCTGAAACATATTTCAAATTGTAGGAGGTCGCTTAGAGTACCCGATATTACCAAGCAGCGCTCCTTCTAACTATTGAGCGGGCTTGAAACTGCTTTACTCTCTGATCAGCGCGATTTTACCGTATGCGAGAAGTTGAAGGAGAACAGGATGGAGAATTGAAAACTGGAGAAGATGAGGAGAAAGTGAAAAGGGACAGGCACAGTTATATATCTACAAAAAAAACAAAAAACAAAACAAAAAACTGTAAATCAGTCACAAGGTTGTATCTTTGGGCCATCCTGTCGGGAAGAGAGATCAAAAACCTGAGTTATCGGTATGGTTGATTGTTAAATATTATAAACATTATTACATCAACCAAGTCGAACCTCTTCAAAAAATAAATAGTGTTAATCCCTTTAATCTTGAACTGAAAGATAAAACACATACTGAGTTATCGTTCTATTGTATAAAATGGATGATTTAACTTGAAAAGAGAAACATTTACTTTTTATCAAACTCATAACGAGGGATAAAATTGAATATTATTTTATACGAATTTCTTAAATGGGATGTTCATACAATAATACTTTTTTTTTATCACAATGTTTCGATTTCTATACTCTTCAGCTTATTTTCTGTTTGAAATTTCCAAATGGAATATTATTACTATGTTCGCCTCTCATTCATTTATTAGAGTGGTGCTCCAGTAAGAGTATATACGTTCACGTATCGTCCGGTTCACAGCAGGAGTAGAGCTTTATTCAGTTTCTTGTTTAGGATTTGGTTTCCAATTCCTTGTAAAGTCTACTCTATACTTCAAACATCTGCGCCTAAACTCTGAAATTTTATTACTTTTTTATTATATTTTTACCTCAATAGGAGTAAATAGGTTCGCCTATCGTCCCGTTCACCCTCCTCCCCGGTTTTTGATCATGAGTAGAGGTTTATCTCCTGTTTCTTGTTTAAAATTTGGGTTTCCGGTTCCGTCTGGAATCTTTTCATTCTCTTTCTCTTCCACTGACCCCTTGCGTCTTAGTGTCATTATCGCCTTGCTTGGGGTGAATTGATTAAAAAAAAAAATAAAGTCAGTATTTTGTTGCTCTTTATCGCTTTTATAAGACGATTTCTGTCGCGCTATTCTTCGGTCTTCTTCCTGTCTGAATTTCCGCAATGCGAGGTTGTTACTATTATACATTGATTCAATCCTCCCTGATTCCCCTTTTTCGTTTTTCAGAATATTTCGGTCGCTCTTGTCTCCGGCCTTCTTCCGTGCAGAATTTCTGAAACGGTGTTTTTATTTACTAATAATGCAATTATTCAATCGAATCAATTTCGAACTCCTTTTTTTTTTTTTTTTTTTTCCTTCATCAAAAACTTTCGTTGACTCTCCTCTAACGGCCTTCTTCCCATCCGAATTTCTTGACCGGGGTAATGCTACTATTATATATTGATTCAATCAGACCAGGTTTCTTACCTATTGTTGTGGTGTCCTCCCTCTTACGAGTCTTCCACCTACTATAAGATTAGTAGGAGAGTAGGCCTTGGGGGAAAAGTCGAATAGATCTGTTCGGACTGTGCTGTCAAACTCTCTGTCTATGGCGGAGAGGAACCCGGACGAGGCTTTGCCGAAGGGCAAAGTTTCGTCCGGGGAAACAGACAGGCCCTGAACCAGTTTATAAGGTTCAAAGGAAATATTTTTGGCCGAACCTACGGGCTCGGAGAACCCACGGTAAACTCAGCCTTGTGCCACATACATCCCTCATTTATCTCTGTTAAATATTAACAGTCGAATAGATTAAACGCTGGGTCAACCGACACACACTCACTAGTCATGTAATACTCTTCTGTTGTACTTACTGTTAATATATGATATATCTCCAACATTTGTTTTGTTATTTCTTTAACCATTTACTTGGTCACAGCACCTTTGTTATTTCATGACGTTCCAGTCGCTTTATCCTGAAGAAGACCATCGGATATAAAAGTAGAAACATTTTGATTAAGTGTATGATAATACAATTACTACTGATAGTCGTAGTATCAGTAGTGGGAAAGACGGCTTCTAGAAACTAAGCAAAATATTAAGAAAGAGGAAAATGTCATTGGAAAGAAAAACAAGAGTACTCATCACTTGCGTAATACTATCGGGTGGCATTTAAACTAGCTACCGGTTTGGCCATCATCACAATAGCTAGGGAGGAGTAGATACGATAGGCATCAATAAACTACAGAAGAACTCCAAATTGATTGCTGCATTTAAGCATTGCATTAATATTCAAGCTTATCTTATAAAGGTTCAACGATAATTCTTCTGTCGCCACTTAATCTAGAGACAATTTGATGTCCGTAGGTCCTTACTTTCCGTACAAACTATTATTTTTATTTTATCAGTAAGTTTCGCTGGATTTCTCAATTAATTTCGATTATTTCCAAATTTATTTCAAAGTTATAAAAATTGTTATCGTACAAAAGAATTCGTCGGGAAAAAAAAAAAAAAAAACACCTAAAAATCACCGAAAACAAACGCGTAATAAAAATCAGTGAATCCAAAATTTCAGAATTGCGGGTCCGTATCCGGCCCGGAATTATTTTAATTTCCTCACGGAGTCGACCTGATTCGAAAATGCTATGATACGTTGGGCTACGGCCTCTAGGAGTAAAGTGAAAAACTCGGACAATTTTATTTTGAAACCCTATAATTTGAGAATAGTATTTTTTTCATTTGAAATGATCTAAAAGGAAAAAGAGACATGAAGCAACAGAAATGTGGTTCTGCAGAAGAATACCATGGACCGAACATGTGAACAATGGCGAAGTTTTTGAGAAAGTGAAAGCAAAAAGGATACTCATACTTAACATCAGAAAAAAGCTGTTGAAATTTCTAGAGCACGTAATAAGGAAAGATGGCTTGGAAAATTTGATACTCACGGGGAAAATTGAAAGCAAGAAGGACAAAGGAAAACAACGCATAACCTGCCTAGTGGGCTTGAGTAAATGGATGATAGAAAGGGATTCAAGAGAGATAACAAAAAGACAAAATTTATTTAGAGCTACAAAGGATAGAAAATCATGGAGAGCCATGATCGCCAACATCCTGAAAAGACACGTCACAGAAAAGATATTAGTGAAGTTGTCGTTTTTCTTGTTGTTGTTGTTGATCTTCTTCTTCTTATTATTATTATTATTATTATTATTATTATTATTATTATTTAAACAAATACGTCAATGTTTTTTTTTTGTTTTTGTTTAGCGGCATATTAAATAACTTAACGAGTTATTTAATGCCGAAATCTAAATATTTTGAATACAATTTTATAGTTTCAACTCGAGATAAAAAAAGTATTACTGATCAGTTTGCTATAAATAAGTATTGTTGGTAATCTTTGTATAGAAAAATGTATTGCTGGTATTTTCATGGTGTTTTGTTTTTGTTTGTTGTTTCACTGTTTGCCCATAGCTAGGACCCTAACAAGTGCTACCACTCCGAGTCAGGGTGGACCAGGAAACAACAGCAATTCAGAGGTGGTTCCGCACTCCTCAAAACCTCTAATCACCCGATCAGAGGTCTTGCTGCTGGATGTAGTTTATCGTCATACCCAGGACTAGAAACATGTTGAGTATCGAAAGAGATATTCAAGCAGGAATAACAAAGCTATCATTAATCTGAACGAGAAACAACAATGAAAGAAAAGTGTAAAAGAATTCCTACGTTTAAATAATAATTTAAAAAAAATGACTATTGATATTTTTGTACATGCCTTGGGGTCGATGACGTATCAAGAATTTCATAAAGGTGTCTACAGGAGGATACTGGGAAAAAAGAAAAAAAACAAGGTCAGAGCGAGTTCAGCAACGAAGATCGGATCGAAAAGAACACTTTTACTTACGATCAGAAAGCGACATTTAACTTTTCTGGGACACATAATGAGAACAGAGGGTTTCGAGAAGTTGACACTCACATGATATAGAAGAGGAGCAGAGAGAAACAGCAAATAAACTAACTAACGGACATTTTGAAATGGACGGCAAAGCATAAACTGGAAGTGAGAGTAAAGGGACAAAAACTGTTTCGTGATACAAAGGATAGGAAGCTGTGGAGAGCCATGATCGCTCACATCCTGAAGAGACCGGCTCATAAAAGAAGAAGGGATTTTAGTAGCAAATATATTAGAAATAAAATCAACGGATCGGTTTATGAGACTGGGAAGAAACAAAAGATGGAAAGAAGGAATAAGTGAATGGAAATGAATGAAGGAATAAAAGAAGAAAATAGGAACTAAGAGGAAGGAAAGCATGGGTGGGGAAAAAGGAGGACGAAAAAATGAAAGGTATGAATAAGAGGAGAAGGAGAAGGAGAGGAAGAAGAACGAGAAGCAGGAGAAGTAGAACAGAAAGAAGAAAGAAAAAGGGAGAAATATTGGAGGAAGGAGAACAATTTTAAGATAAAAGAAAGAAAAAGAAGGATTTAATGAAAGACATGTACTCAAGATAGGCTAAAAGATGTGAATAAAGAAAGAGACAAAGAAAAGAAGATGAACGAAAATAAAGAAGGAAAGAAATGTATGAGAAAATAAAAATATGAATGACGGAAATAAAAACATAGAGAAAAGAAAAGAAAGAAAAATATGAAAGAAGGAAATGAATAAAAACAAACTAAAAAGAAAAGAAAAAATATGAAAGAAGGAAATGAATAAAAACAAACGAAAAAGAAAAACAAATATGAAAGAAGGAAATGAATAAAAACAAACGAAAAAGAAAGAAAAATATGAAAGATAGGAAATGAATAAAAACAAACTAAAAAGAAAAGAAAGAAAAATATGAAAGAAGGAAATGAATAAAAACAAACGAAAAAGAAAAACAAATATGAAAGAAGGAAATGAATAAAAACAAACGAAAAAGAAAGAAAAATATGAAAGAAGGAAATGAATAAAAACAAACTAAAAAGAAAAGAAAGAAAAATATGAAAGAAGGAAATGAATAAAAACAAACGAAAAAGAAAGAAAAATATGAAAGAAGGAAATGAATAAAAACAAACTAAAAAGAAAAGAAAGAAAAATATGAAAGAAGGAAATGAATAAAAACAAACTAAAAAGAAAAGAAAGAAAAATATGAAAGAAGGAAATGAATAAAAACAAACGAAAAAGAATAAAAATAAATAAAGAAAGAATAAAAAAAAACAAATACAGAAAAAGAAAGAAAGGAAGGCGGAAGTAAATACATGAAAGAAGGAATTATTAAGGAATAAATGAACAAATAGAAAAAAAGAAGTGTTGGTAAGTAAAGTAAAAAAAGCAAAAAAACAATGTATTTATTTTTTATTTGTTGAATACCTAAAAAGCTATTGAAAGAATGAATGAAAATGTATTCAAAAGGAAGTAAAAGAAAATGAACGAAAAGAGAAAAGGAACATTGAAAGAATTTCTTTCAACGTTCCTATGGGAGAAGAAAGGAAGAAATAAAATAAACAAGTGGTAAAACGAAAAACAGGAATGAAAGAAACGAAAGCAAAACAAGCGAATGGCAATTTTTTTTAACGGAAAAATTAAAAAGAAAAAAAAAATTATTTTTGTAAAATTAAAAACAACAACAAAAATAGAGCAATGAAAAAGATAAGTAAACCAAAAAAAAAAAACAGGAATGGTAGACGTAGGTGAAAAATTAAGTTATAGCGGAGAAACAATTATTCAAGTTAAGAAGTGTAAATAAATCTTTAAAAAAATTTTAAAAAAAAAACAAAAAAAAATCGCGTTTTTAAACTTAAATAATTTCACATTCCCCAGCCACAACCGAAACAACTCTTCACCACAAACACCACCACCACTAAGAACAACAGCAACCCATCGTCACCCTCATCACCATCAGGTGTTACGTTCTCGACACCCAACCACAACCCTACCAGCTATATTTCCCTACCCGCATCTTCCAATCATCCACCCCTAAATTTCCATCCACCTTTCACGGTGTTTTTTTTTTTTTTTTTGCTCTCTCCCTCGACCGATCACCATTAACGCTAACTACAGCAACAATATATAGCAGTCAGCACTTACAGGGAGTAGCTTGTCACACATATCTAGAGAGTTACAGACAGGGTCTGTGTTCTGAACACAGACGCATACGGACACACTTTGGAACCAGACGAACCGACCCAGCCTTTCCCCCACCACCTAGTGCCCGACTCCCTTTTCTTACGCACAGACCAAGAGCTTCACTACTACTACTACTACTACGACAACGACGACTATTACTACTACTACTATTTCCACAACATGACCCATTCATTCATTCATTCATGGGCTAGGCCACTGTATCATTATTTCTGAACTTATCGGAGTTTTTACAATATCTTTTTAAAAACCAACTGAGAGCCCTGAACTTAAAAAGGAAGGATTGTTCGTTTTTATATATATAATTATTATTTAGTTTCTTCTAAAATTCCCTACTTTTAATCTCTTTCTGTTAGGGTTGGAGATTATTTCTTGTTTTGATACAAAAAAAATATATATAGGGACAGGAAAATTTAGGGGTTCAATTCTGTCTTATTTTGTTTTTCTACCAATGAATTCTATCTCTGGCACGTGTTCAATTGAGTCACACGTGAAAGTGCAAATCTTTCATGGAAAAAAAACAAACATTCCATATAAATTTTTAAAAAAGCATTAAATTTTTAAACACATCTGTATTATTCTAAACACTCTCTTGAAGCGACCAAAACAGATTTAAACAAATTCGAAATCGATGTTGTTTTTGTTTTGTTTTGTTTTTTAAATACAAGATAAATATCCAATAACCATTAATTAACGTTCTACACACAATAGTACTTAACGCTTATTGGTTGTTGTTTTTTTAAATATTTTTTTGTCCGTTTATTTTATTTTATATACATTTAAAAAAAAATTCTTTCTCTCACTCCGTCTCTCTTTTTCCTTCTCTGATTTTAATTCTTTCTTTCTTTCTCTGAAACGGAATTACCAGGAAAAAATTTGGAGTACCCTTTCGAAAAACGGATTGCGAAGATTAAAGGAAGAAAGAATCAAATAAGGAAGAAGAAACGACTTTTCTTTTACATTTTTTTTTTAAACACTACAGCAATATATACACGGAAACCAAGGTTGCTTAATATTTTGACCCCTCCACGAAAAAATTACTACATACAGACGCACATTTTAGTCTGCAAAACAATACACCTATATACATACATTACGTTTGTGTTAACAAAACAAACGTACCAATAATTATCAAAAAAAAAAAAAAAAGAAAAGAAAAGAAAAAACCCGCTCAGTACACAATGATTTTGTACATGTGTGACGGTGTGTGTACTGTGTAAAACACATCTTTCTTTTGCTTTCATTAAAATTTGCATGACTTGAAACATTACAAAACGGTGTGAGGAAACAAATTACCAAGAATGGGATTTGACGTGGAGAAATTTGTTTGTAACGTCGAGGAAGAAAAAAAATGCAAGCTTTGTTTAGGGGTGCTCGACAACCCCGTACGCACTCCCTGCGGACACGTGTTCTGCTCTGGTTGTATACTACCCTGGGTCATCAGATACGGGTGCTGTCCAAAAAAATGTCCCTCTGATGATTTAAGTCCAAACGATCTTGAAGCTGTGTTACCGCTTCGTCAGCTTATCTTAGATATGCAGGTTAAATGCGAGTTTGCCGACCGTGGTTGCCAGTCCATCCTGCCCCTTACCGTGTTAGTACCCCATTCTCAGGATTGTGCCTACAGACCAGTCTCATGTCGCAACCCTGGCTGCTCCCAGACGGTCAACCTAGGACAGCTGGTTGCACACGAGACGGACGAGTGCGAGTGGCGACCCGTCGGTATTTGTCAGCGCGGCTGCGGTCTGGTGTTGCTACAGAGGGCCGTCACGGCGGGCCATGAATGCGTTGAGGCGCTCAAAAACCAGATCGGCGAACAGGAGATACGGACCGGCTCGCTGGAAACGGAGATGCGTAGGCTACAGGCCCGCTTCGTGAAGAGAGAAAAGTCTCTTCTCGCCCAGATCGCCACGTTGCACGGCGACGTACAACTACAGGCGCTAAAGTTCCAGCAGAAGTTGAACAACTACCGCCAACAGCTGCACAACATCTCGCTTCTCTACAACAACAACAACAACAACAATATCTGCATCAGCATCCAAAACAACAATAACAACAACAACAACGATTATAACGTGATCGACAACAACGACGACGTCAACGACGACGGAGGCGGTGGCGGCGACGGAAACAATGATTTTGAGAAGGTGAGTTAACGTTTTTCTATTCTTTCTTTCTTTCTTTCTTTCTTTTTTTTCATCTCGTTTTTTGTTGTTGTTGTTGCTTTTTATTCTATTTTGATATATTTTCCTTTGATTTTTAATTTTAGTCGGCTCGCTCAATTTGTTACGAATTTTTTTCTATCTCTTTCTCTCTCTCTTTCTCTCTTCTTGGATGTAATTTAGTTACTGCCGCTATACCTATGCTGGGGCTGCCCCGTCCTCACTATCCAGCCACGATATAGTTCAGAAACGCCTTCGCGGCCTTGTGGGTGATGAATTATTTCCCACTCTACAAACCCTATCCCACAGACGAGACGCCGCAAGCTACTCTATCGCTAAATGTTCCGACGAGCATCAACCCTTAGTACCATCAACCCTGATCTTCACAGTTGACACACTATGACAAGTACACTGGAACGAACCATCCCTATTCTCTTTGTATTCCGTTAGTAAGGAGGAAGTTCTATTTAGAAGGTTTCTTTGCATGAATCGCTACTTCGTGGAAGAGACGTCCGAGATTATGCTTCCTGCAACACTACAATTTTAACCTAAGTCTAGGGTTAACCGTTATCTATCTTACTTTTCTTCCTCATAAACTGCACTTCTTAACAACGTCCTCTTATGTGCAGAAAACCTCTACCTTGAGTGGCTCATAAGTCTTGAACTGCGTGAACAATTAGTAAAAGAAATTCAGCCCTTAACTCCACATAAATACCTATTATCACATATGACATAATTCATTCTTTATTTGCTTACTTTGGGTAACATGCTGTTTAAAAGAAGGCCTGCTCTGGATTCGAAACCGTGTAGAGATTATGAGAGTTCACAAATAATTAAGCCGGGAAATCTATGAAGGGTCATGATTACATACATCCTGAAGGGACATGACATTAAAAAAAAATATTTCTCAAATGAAAATATCCCGTGTCTCTCCACACACGCACATACATACATATTAAATTATATAATTTATATTCAGCAATAAGGGTTTACAGAACATAAAACAAATAAAAGAAAAAACAACAAAAGGGATTCTGTTAAGTTATGTAATAAAACAACAGTCTTTTGAACAGGGCTTACAGACATTTCACGTTAAAATACCAGTTCCCTTCCTATCACTGAAGTTAAGCAACACCGAGTCGGGCCATTATTTAGATGAGTGACCGCTTGAGGATTACCAGGTTCTGTAAGCTTAGATGGACGGATGATGTAATCGATAATGGCTCGGAATTGTTAATCGGAGATCCTAGTTTCAATCCTAGTAGGGTTCGTTATATTCACATGGGAAATGTATGAACCCATCTCTTCTCCCTAAAGCTATGGGTTAATTAGTAAAACTTGTATCACTAGATCCTTATTATCTCCGGCCCCACCCCACCAAAAACATCTTGCAATCTAAAAAATAAATTCTGGTTTTAAATAACCTGCAAGGGGTTGATAATAATAATAATAATAATAATAATAATAATAATAAGTTTTTGAACAGAAGTAGAGGTTTATTCCTCCTTTTCTGTTCAGGATTGGGTTTCCGGTTCCTTCTGAAGTTCCACTCCCAGTAGACCCTTGCGTCTTAGGGACATTATCGCCTTGCTTGCAGGGAATTAATTAAAAAGATATAAAATGAATAAAAGAAACATCTACGTGTGACCGAGTACACAGTGTCCGTAACTGTTGACTTTCAAGATTTATTTTGGGATAAACAAATTTGTAGAAGAGCTGTGTGGTTAGTGTAACGGTTATCAGGGCGAAAAATAAAATCTACGTGCCGAGTTCAAATTCCTTCCTTTTCTGTTACGGTCATTTTCGCACTAACGTCCTTAGAAAAAGCATGCATCAGTGTCTTCTGCATACCATAAAAAACAGGCCATGTGTTCAATAGCTGCGTTAACTGGTCTCTGTAGTCTTGTTTGGTAT